CACACACACCCGCCGTCGGCTCATCCACCACTCTCCTCCCCGTGACCAGGAAGGCATGGGACAGAAGAGCCTGGCAAAAGGCTTGGCAAAACGTAAACGTCTGCTGCTGAGAGACTGCTTAGACACATCCTCAGACATCTATGTTCAAGTCTACACAGCCCAGGGGCACCGACCCCACTCTACCCCATCATGCGGACAGCTGACCTCTCCTACAGGGCTGCACCAGCCCGGGCCCGGCCGCTAAGAACAGCAAGTCCTGAGCCTCTCTTCTAGAAGTGCCTGGCTCGGAGCTCGATCCCTCGGCATATCCCCCCAAAGCTGCTTTCAGAGGAGAAGGGCCCCCACGGATGCAGACAACCCCCCCAACCGAGAGCAAGGCTGGAGGGCCCCGAGGGCACCCCCCCCCAAGCCCAGAGCCCCTTCGGGGAAAATGCCAGCAGGCTCCGGGGCGCGGGGCCAGCCCAGGCCTAGGCCGCTGACTCGGCGCTCGCGCGGGCCTCACTATTATCCCGGACGGCCGCCATCAGCTCGTCGCGCACGGCCGCGTCCCCGCGGTGCTCGGGCAAGCTGAGCAGGAAGCGCAGCTGCGCGATGCGCAGGTCGGGGTTCTTGGGCAGACCCTCCTCCTCTAGGTTCTCCAGCGGCATCTCGGCGGCGGGGGTAGCACCTGACGGCGCACGGCAACTCGGCGCGGACCCGCGGTGGCTGCGGCAACGGAAGCGAGAGGAGTCAGCGAGGGCGCCCGGCTGCCTCCGGCCCGGCTTCCGGTCCCGGGCCAGCCTCCGCCAGCAGCGCCCTCTGCTGTACAGTCTTCGGAACACCTCACCCGGCCTGAGCGCCGGCGCCCCCGTGTGGTCACGAACGGCTTTCCCTCGCTCCTGGCCGCGACAGACAGTCCCAGGATACATGCCGCCCAACTCGGAAGATCCATTTTCCGAAGCTCTCCCTCCCTCCCTTTTTAGCTAGTCTATTTCATCCTGTTCGTAACTGACAGGAGCTGGCAAGCTTTTGAAATTTTTGAAAATATCATCATCCCATCACCATCACCAGCAATAAAAGCAGACTCTAAAATTTGTGGAGTCCTTCCTCTCTGCCTGAGCAAGATTGTGTATCAGCTATTTAGCAATGCGGAAATAAAAAACCTCTGGGCACAGTTCTAAAACCCATGTTCTTTCCGCCAGTCTAAGAAAATGCCACAACATTAATATTTTGTTTATGCATAATTTAAATCATTGCATGCCTGCATTTTCAGCCTTTTTGTTCTTGTAACTACAGTATTCAGACTTGGTAATGGCCACGTGAAATTCCATCCAGTGAATTTGCCATAATTTACTTTTACTCTTCGTTCCGTTACAGGTCCCTTTCGGTCGTCCAGAGTTGTTATTTTCTTAATATAAAACCTGCGATGAACATCACAGGTCATTTGATATTTTAGGTTTCCCCGCCCCCCCCCCAAGCATAAATTCCCATGCAGGATTAATAGACAAAAGGTAGGAATGTTCTGTGAGTTTTAAATATTTAATGTCACATGGTTTTCCAAAAGAACTGAACCAGTTTATACAGCCAGTGAAACATTTGGGACTGCTGCATTTGTGCCAGCAGTAAGCATTATACCACACATTTTTTATGATTTACTTGTTTCGGTAAAAATAAGCATTTGAAGACACCTCAAAGGATAATAAAGAACATAGAAAAACATTGAGGACTCCATCATGTTAAACTTTTGGGGAAGAACTTTCTAACCATCTTTCATTCATTGATTCAACATATTACGTGGTTGCAAAGTACTAGGGTTGATTCCAGGCGCTGGCGACACAGCAGTGAAGAACACAAGACTTTGTCCTTGTGGAACCGACATTCTAGAGACACTTAGCTTCACTGACAGGTACCTAGATATATTAATAGGATCATTCTATACTTGTACCTGATAAACTGTTCTGTTCCATCCACCTTTCCATGCCAATAAATATGGACTGACATCATCACCTCTAATGACCACATAGGATTCCATTGTTTTATGTACCAACTTTTGTCCCATCAATCCTTAATTGCTATCAATTTGGGTAATGATTATGTCTTCAGTCTCATAAATACCAAAGTGTTGATCATCTATGTGCATATATTTTCACATTTATACAATCATTTCTTTTTTAAGATTTATTTACTTGAGAGAGAGAGAGAGAAAGAAAGAAAGAGAGCTGGGGGAGGGGCAGAGGGAGAGGGGGACAGAGAATCCTCAAGCAGACTCCCTGCTGAGAGCAGAGCCCAATATGGGGCTCAATCCCAGGACCCTGAGATCATGACCTGAGCCAAGATCAAGAGTTGGCCACTTAACTGACTGAGCCACCCAGGTGCCCCTCTATAATCACTTTTTAACCCACATCCCTACAAGTGTAATTTCTAAATAAGAGGGTCTAAGCACTTTGTATTTTGACATATTACATAGGGATTATATAAATTATTTTTCCAAAAAATGAAATAGCAATTTATATTCCCACCAATATTTAAAAAAGGACCTGTTTTCCTCTTTGCCAATACACTTTTATCAACCATTTTAAGCTTTGACAGTTATAGCAATGTTGCTTTCTTTTACATTTATTATTATAAGGTTGAATTCTTTTCACATATCTACTATGTGTATTTCCTCTTATGAAATGCCTGTTTTACTTTGTCAGTTCTCCTACAGAATTTTGTTAATTTGTAAGCACTCTTCATATCTTAAGGATACTAATTGCCTGTCAAGTGTTGCAAATTTCTTCCCAGTTCTTTTTTTTTTTTTACATTTTAATAGATTTTTTTTCAACACAAATATTCAATATTTATATAATTTTATCAATCTTTTCCTTTATGGTCTTTGTTCTCACCATCGCATCTTAGTAAGATCCTACCCACACTTGATTTGAAAATTATTAACCCATGTTTCCTCTATTTCTTTCTTTCTTCTTTCTTTCAGTGCTTTAATCTTTGATCCATCTGGAATAGATGTCTAAAGAATATGGTATGTCATATTTAAAATATTTCTACAATTTGCTCTGTAAAAAAAGTATATATATACATATACATATATATATATACTATAACCATATTTTAATCCAGAACCCATTACTTGACATAAGATTTGACAGCAAAGAATATTTGCAATTAGCTTTATCTTAATGAAACAAGCTTGTTCTCAAATGCCTACCCTCCTGCTTATGTAACCCGAAGGAGTGGCAGTTCTGTGTCACATGACCCAGAGCTGATTAGACCAAGTGAAGCAAAAGGAAAACAACTAATTGTCTGGTTGGCAGTTCATGACTAATCTGGCTTGTCTTGACTAGATGAGCTGGTTAGGTGAATTGTTTTCTTCAGAATTTGAACTAGGAAACTCCCTGGTTCTCCTCAGAAGGAAGCAGTCCAGGAAAGCCAATACCTGAATAATAATTCTAGAAGAATAATTCTAGAATGAGAATTCTAGAAGGAATAGAGAGGCCTGAGAAGGCAGACATCCTAGAACTAAAGGACATGGCATTTCTAGTTTGAAAGAATCCATTGTATACTCAGCAATGCATTTTTTTTTTTTTAAAGATACCTCATTGTGAAAACTTAGGACACTGGGTACAAGGAGACAATTCGCAAGATTTTTAAAGAGAAGAAATAAGGTCACTGAGGCAAGAATAAGAATCAGAATGAAAGGTATCTCCTGAAATACAACACTGGGGACCAGAAATTAATGGAACAAGGCCTTCAAAAAAAGATCAAAATAAAATGGTTTCCAACCTAGAACTCCACACTCAACTTTTATTCTGCAATTAATATGGGCATTTTAAGACCTGCAACATCTCAAAACCGACCTCCCATGCACCCGTCCTCAGGAAGGAAGTTGCAGAGGATGAACTGTCCCTAGAAAACGGGGAATTCCACTCAAGAGAGGAGCTATCTCTGGGATCTCAGGACAACAACCTTGCAGGTGACCTGGAGGGCTGCCCATCAGAAGTGCAGCAAAAGTGGGTTCTCTTTGACAAGTCACTCTCTCTCTCTCTCTGTCACACACACACACACACACACACACACACACACTCTCTCTCTCTCTCTCTCAGTCCACAAGGAGCTCTTACTCTAACTCCGAAATCTATCCAGAAGCTGACCACTTTCTACCAACCCTGTTGTTTACACTCTGGTCCCGCCTGCCATCATTCTAGTCTGAATCACGGGTGTTCTCCTCATGGGTCTCCCTGCTTCCCCCCTTGTGATCTTCTTGACCAAGCAACCAGGAAGGCATCATCCTTTCAAAATTTAAGTTCCCCATTTTGCTTGTGAAATCAAGCCCTTGCAGTGGCCCCCAAGGCCGTAAAAGACAACATTACCCAACGTCTCTGCTGTGTGCCCCCCACATTTCCCTTCACTCACCCTGCCGCCCGCCTCGGCTCCAGGCCCCTGCCCGCACCTACCAGGCGTCTTCTCCTGGAAGGCCCTTGGCCCTGACCACTCCCTCTGCCTGGAATGTGCTACCCCAAGACACCGTCCTTCCCTTCAAGGCTACTCAGATGTCACCTCTCAGAGGGGCCATCCCCACTTATTTAGAATTCCATTATGTCTCCCTGCCTGCCCTTCCAATCCATTTTACCAAGCTCAATTTTCCCCCCATAAAATTCTTCTAAAGTACTATTTTTTATTATACTTATTACTTATTTCTGTCTCCCCAATTCCAGGGTAAACTGCAGGAGAGCACGAATTCTGTCATGGGCACGGTTACGGCCAGTGCCTAGAACAGAGCCTGGCACCTAGCAGGTACCCACAGAGTCTTCCTGAGTGAATGAATGAGTGAATGGGGTGGGGCTCCAGAAGGGAGTCTCCAAGAAGAAGAACAAACAGGTCAAATACATGAGTTTGAAAGTTCTGAGAACATTGATACTCTTGCCCACGAGTTCAGGGGTGAGACAGTTACAGGAGTTTGGAAAACTATGCCAAAAAACACAAGACAACTATGAATTCCAGCTATACCAAAGTTGTACCAGAAAGCAAGTGTAACTCTACAATCCTTCATGGACTCCCTTGTGAGCGACATTTTTGTAGTTATAAAAACGTAAATGCTAGGCAAGAATGGAAGCGAAGCTATGACAGAAACAGATTGGAAGAATGGGGGGGGGCGGGGACTGATGAAGGTGGGACCGGCAATTTGGGATGGAAGCAGATTGCACCAACTCCCCCGCTGTTCTTGTCCTGATTTTTCTTTCTTCAGCCTGATAAAGGAACTTCCAACGACTTCCATTTTGACCTCAGTCAGTACTTTGCGATAGATCGTGTTCTTCTTTCCAGCTTATCTCTTCACTCAGGCAAAAGACCCGGAGGGCAAAGCATCCTGTGATGGGAAACTCAACTACCCCCCCCAGAAATAGGGACAGCCCTGGTGTCAGGAGGACCCCACATGATGGACTCCAAGACAATGACCCACCTGACCTTTACTGCCCACCTGCACGCCCCATTACTTACTGGTCTTTGTCCCACATTCTCCTTACATAAACTAGAACTGTTTTCAGCTTTTTGGAGACAGTCTTTGAGATGCCAGTCCACTGTCTTCCCGGTGCTGGCCTCACTGAAATAAATTCCTTTCTAGTTTCACCATCACTCATCTCTCTGCCTTTGGATTCTGTCAGCGGTGAATGGC